AAAATAGATGCTATGCTAATTTTAATAGTGTCAGCTTTTTTAAAATACTCTAATACAAAATGCTATAAAGCATTTTTAATTTCTGTTCAGGTGAGAGGTGTCTGCTTTGAAAACGCAGTTTGTAAATCACATTACCCCGCTGATACGTCATCAGCATGAATTGCCAAATCCCCCATATATATTGTACTATAGACAGCATTTTCTCATAATATAACGAGGGCATTTTATGCATTATATAAGCAGATGAAGAAAAAAAACTAACGTATCATTATACTTATGTTTAACTACTTGCTTTACCAGGCTTGTTTCCAATTTTATGCCATCCCTATCTTATCCCATCCCTTCCCATCCTTCCCTATTCTATTCTATATTATCCTATCCTACCCTTCCCTTCCCGGCCCTGCCCTATCCTACCCTGCCCTACTAGTACTGTACCCTATCCTATGCTATCCTTTTCAACCCCTTACTCCGTTCGACTGTGGGGGCGCCGCCTAAGGATTTTGAAACCAGTTTCTCTGCTTTTTTTGGATGCTGCTCAGATTCAACCCGGTCTTATCTGTGAAAACATTTTCCATTTTTTTTTTTTCACTCTGCCTCGTTCTTTTCCACCTTGTATTGAGCTTACCAAATTGCTTTGGTAAGTCGTGTTGATCATGTGATGTATCGGTACCACTTCAGTCTGCTTTATAGTGGACATCGGTTTATATTATCCTGTCCCTTACTTCCTCATTTGTGAGATGATCTTTCCATGATATTCCGAGTAGTCTTCATATGCATCTCATCTCTACAGCTTTTCTTCTTTCACTGTATTTTGTAAGGGTCCATGACATCATCGGTCCTTTGAACTGAGTGCGGTGTTCTTGTCACTCCACAATTTGTACTCCAGTAGCTAATTAATTACATTATTGTGTTCGTGTTTATCTTCCTTGTGCAAATGTATAAGATACTTTTTTCGGACATTAAAGTTCCATTTCTTTTAGATTCCGTGATGAAAACATGCACACTTCCCGAGAACCCCAAATGCTTTGAAGGACGTGCAGGCGACGTGCAGAAAGTGACACAGCTGTTACTTGGGGGTCATCGATTAGTCAATATTAAAGCTTTTGGAGGGCAAGGGAAGACTGCCTTAGCAACTGTTATTGGTAACGCATTCGTCTCAACATGGGGCATTCGCACAGTTATGGCGGACATGAAAAATATTCACACGGGGAGAGATGTACTCAGAGCAGTGTTATTTGCGCTTAGCCTTTGGACATATGAAGAAAGCAAAGGTATGACCACCAGGGATGTCATAGAAAAGATTTTGCGTGAAGTTTCAAAAAAAGAAAAAAAAATTCTAGTCATTTTTGACAACTGTGAAAGTGCACTTAATGGTGAGGGCCGGCAGACTTTCCTTGCCCTGTTAACAAAACTGAACTCAAACTGCAGAAATGTGTTTGTCCTGTGCACGTCACGTGATGCCATCGTTCTCCCCAACATAGCCGTTACTGAGCATCCACTTGAATCTCTAGCAAAGAAGGCGTCGGTGGATTTGTTGCATTCATATACAGATCATCTGGAATCCGTGGACGGGGAAACACTTGCCGCAAAATGTGGATTTATGGCGCTGTTACTCCATACTGTGGGAGTGTTACTGTCGCAGCGATACTCAGCTGAAGAACTTCTGACTGAGCTTGCCAAGAGTCCATTTACTTTAAAGACTGATGAGTTTAATACCCACCGTTGTATAAACCTAAGTTTTAGACGGTTGGAGCACAATGAACAGAAAGCGTTGCAGCTTCTGTCCTTTTTTCCATCTACTTTCACCTTTGCTCAAGCCACTGAGCTCTTAAAAAAGAACATACATGTAGCTAGTACGCCGTACACGGGTATTCTTCAAAAGCTGTGTAAAACCTCATTCCTTCATTACGACGCCAGAAACGAAACATACAGTATGCACAGTATAATCCAATCTTTTGCAAAGCATGAAATACATAGAGAATATGCGGATGAATATAGACTAAATTTTATAAGGTTTATGGAACCTAACATATCAAAGATTGAAGGCGTGGAAATGAATGAAATGTGTTTACTTTTTGAAAGGGACAGAGAAAATTTCGTTCAATGCATTCACATTCTTGCTGAGCTTTCAAGTAAATCGCAAAAAAGGATATATAAAACAATGAAAAAACTTGCAATGTGCCTCTTCAAATCATGTAGATTTGATCATGCATTGAGCTGCTATAAAATTCTATTGAAATTACAGATGCAAGCAAAACATGCCGATGATTTAGAACTTGCACATCTCTTCATGACTATAGGACTAATATACGGTTTTTTTAAAATTGAAAAGGATTGTAGATGTAGTTTGCAATCAGCAGTGGATATTTTTGAAAAGCTAAGAACAACACACCACTATAGGGATTACCACCGCTGCTGCTATCACCTAGGACTGGAATGCTTTGAAAATGGCAGTTATCATGAATCACTTAAGTGGACTGAGCAATGTTTAAAAATATCAACATATATAAATGATCAGAATGTGCAACAGAATGACCAATCTTTCATCACCATCATAAAAGCAGCGCTACGTGAGAACGTGATGGGCATGCCAGTAAGGATAGAAGAGAGTGATCCTAAGCTTGAAAGAAGGCCTGTCGGGGTTGGTGAGAGTGCAAGTACGGCCACTTCGCTACCCAAAAAAGGCCACGAAATGCCGACAATCGATGATGCAGATGGTGCCTTCCAAAGAGCAATTGTCATGAGGGAGAAAATCTATGGTGAGCACCATAAATCTACAGCAGGCACGAACCATGAGTCAGTCCGTGCCATGTCAGCACAAGAAAACCGTGCTGACGCCCTCAATAGGAGAGCATTGTGTATAAAGGAAGAGGTGTTGGTCGATACTGCCAGTGTAGCTAATACACTACACTGCATAGGCAATGAAATACAGATTATGGGTGACGTTGATGGTGCCGAGACTTTTTTTAGAAGCGCAGTGTCTCTCACAGATAAAAGTATACAAAAGAACGAATTATTTAAAGTGACCACGACCCAAGAATCGTCCCTAGCTGTCGTTGATCAGAGGATAAACATGAAACACCTTACTGGTTACTGGCACAAGAGAGCAATTCATTTAAGAGAAGTGGCAGTTGAGTGTCCTAGTATTGCAAGTGATCTACATTGCATTGGCCAGGAAATGCTAGTAAATGGTGACGCAGATGGTGCAGAAAAAACCTTCAAAAAGTCACTGGCTATCAGTGAGAAAATTCACGGTGAATGCCACGAATCTACAGTGGACACAATTCATGAGTTAGCTTGTGCCTTTTCAGCTCAGGGAAAGCATGCTGAAGCTCTCAGTACATACCAGAGAGCACTTCGTATAGAGATACAGTTATTGTCAGCACAGCCACGGAACTACACTCTAGGCCAAGACATGCTTGCTGTATGAGAAGATCTATGGGGAGCACCACGAATCTACAGCAGACGCGATCCATGAGTTAGCCCGAGCCATGTCAGCACAGGGAAAGCATGCTGAAACTCTCAGTACACAACAGAGAGCACTGCGTATCTATTAGGAGGTGTTGGGTGAAAGTGAAATACACTTTACAAGGTAGGATTGGGAATGTTGAATGCAGCCAGGACAGTGCAAAACGTGGGCAGTGACGGAATAAAAACTGATTATATTGAGTCAGCTGTTTATGTTTTAAGAAAAGCTGTTGAAATTAGAAAGAAAACATTGGGTGAATACCAGCCTTAACTGCCGTCGCAACGCATGCTTTGGGCTTAGCATTACATCTCCAAGGTCATTTCTCGGAGTATCTCAGTACATATCGTAAGGTACTCCTCATCTATGAACAAGCAGGTATGAATGAAACTCATAACACTGTGGTTGTTATGGAAAACATTGCCGACGCTATGAAAGCCACAAAGGACACTGACGGTGCTATAACGATGTATCGACGTACTCTCGATTTGAGTCGCAGAGTTCTGGCAGATGATGAACAGACATTGCGTCTTAAAAACGAATTGTTTGAGATCCTACAGGGGGTCGGTCACGTTGCAGAGAAGAAAACTCCGGGTACGTTGCAGAGAGTATGGCATTTGGGAAGGAAGACGATTGCGACTCTGAAAGAAAAACTGGTTGTTTCTAAAACTAAGCCGAATGGGCTGTGATTCATATGATAAATATTGTCCATGACGCCAAGTAATGTGATGTAAATGTAATTAAAAATATCCTGGTGACATATGTTAAATGAGATAATGACATTACATAAAACCTGGACCTCATTTTCTGAGTTATTGTTTCTCAAATGGGTGGAACAGGTCTCAATAACATGAAAACTATTTGTTAGATGATAAAATATAATCCATTCATATGACTAGGATCTTTTGTAGATTTTGTAGATTCGTTGTATTCTTTAAATATATATATGAAACATGACGCCTCTGATCCTTCCTCAAAGGATCTTTAGCACTATCACTTGACTAAGGGTCCATTATTCTAAGGTGATATGCTGTTCAGAAGGGACGAAAAATCAAGCTTCTATAAGGAGAAAACAAGCTTTATTTCGTTTCAGTCAATTTATTTAACCGTTACAATCATGACTAATTACATATTTTGGCGTACGGTTTTTAAGTGCTTAACAACAAGATCCGAAAGCTCGTTAAGGAAAAAGATGAAGCTTACCGTAACAAAGAACAACACCCCGAAAACTATCGGAAGTTAAAAGCAACCCTGCGATGGGCCATCAAGAACGCCAAGAGAGACTTTAAAAAGAAATTCGAAGAAAAGTTTGAGACCAAGAACGTAAGACAGCTATGGTCAAACATGTCATCACTCACTAAATACAAAGATCCAAAACACGTACTTAGTGACAACGACAAGCTGAATGAATTTTACGCTAGGTTTGACATTGCCAACAACTCGGACTTAAGATCGGCTCCACTAAATGCACATCCACATGGCCCACCGCCCTTTTCTGTTCAGAAATGGCAGGTCCAGTATCATTCTACTTCATCACTGTCAAGTTCATTACGGAACCACATGAGATAGCGCAGGCGTATCGGACTTCAGTGCGCAACCAACTGGACTTCCAGACGGACGCATAACAATTCTTCCTACGCGGTTTTTTCATTTTTTGATGGAAACCTTCATTTTTCTTCTCAAGAAGAAGAAGCCCTACTGGGGCCAGGGGTGGGTATTACCCCCTCTGAATCGAGAAACATTTTCTCAGCGATTGATGGCCTTAAGGGCACTATGGAGGCTGTTGCCTCCAATATACAGAAAATGGGCGAGGTTTGGGCGACAATGGCAGCCAAAAACAAACCCGCCAAACGCTCTGCGACGGTCTTTAAAGGAGAGGAAGGAGACGACTCCTCCTGCTCCGATATTGACAGTCCTATGGACCATCAGGACGAAGACGACGTTGCGAGCCTCCTCAATGCCGCGGGAAAACAACCAAAGGCGGCAAAAAGTGACAGTGCTGCTGTCTTAGAAGATGTAAGCGCATCATTTGAAGATGAGGAGGATACTGGGCCGAATATTAGCGCTAAATTGGCTGAAATTGCCAATAAAGCTTTTTCTAAGCCACTGGCGACAGAAAAAGTAAAAAGGAAGAAGGAGTTGTATTTGAGGCCACAGAACTGTGACAAAGTCACAGTGCCTCGGGTTGACAAAGAAATTTGGCGCAGAATGCGTAAACAGAACTATCTCAAGAAAAGAGATCTGAGATTTTCTTCCATCCAAAGTGCTATCACTAAAAGCACCTTTGCTATGTTATCCGTTGCGGAAAACTTGCTAAGCAAACCCGCCGAGCCTTCGACAGAACAATCCATACGCGCATGTTTAGATGCCGTATTTCTGCTCGGGCATGCGAACACGTCAGTGTCGCTACAAAGGCGGGAATTACTACGGCCCGTGCTTAAAAGCGATCACGCCGGGTTTTGCGATGCCAACATACCCGTAACCTCTTTACTATTTGGTGACGACCTGCCAAAATCCGTCAAAGATATACGGGAAATGGACAAGGTGGGCCGGGACGCGGTCCAACCGTACCAGCCAAAAAACTGGAAGAGGCCGGGGTACAACCCCCGGCACGGACAGGGCTACAATTCCCGAGAGGGACACCCCCAGGACTGGTTCAACAAACCAGGGCCGAGTGGCGTGAGAAGGGGAAAGAAGTTCAAGAAAGAGTAGAACCCACTATGAAGGTGAGGACTCTAGAAACATTTAAAAGTGAATTTTCACTGTTTATTTTAGATGCCGTTAAAAAGGCTAACTATGATATTCTTACTTTTGAAGGAGGCAGATTACGGTATTTTATAGACGAATGGAGATCTATAACCTCCGACAAAGAAATATTAAGAATAATTAAAGGCATGGAACTAGATTTCCGTGTAATGCCAGTGCAGGCAAGGCCAATAAGGGAGGCAAAATTCAATGCCTCTGAAACCGTAGAAATAGAAAAGGAAATACAGAGATTATTACAAAAGAAAATTATAGTTGAATCTCCAATGGAAGTTGGTCAATTTATTTCACCAATTTTTTTGAGAATGAAAAAGAGCGGGAAATACCGACTCATTTGTAATCTAAAAGAGTTAAATGAGTGCATTGATAATCACCATTTTAAAATGGATTCATTGCAAACAGCAATTAAGATGATGACGCCTAACTGCTGGCAATCAAGTATTGATCTCTCTGATGCATATTATTGCATATTTGTCTCTGAAAAATATCAAAAATACTTAAAATTCCAATGGAAATCAAAGTTATACCAGTACAGGGCGTGTCCAATGGGCCTCAATATAAGCCCCAGGGTCTTCACCCGGGTTCTTAAGCCAATTTTCTCTTGCT